TATGTAACTGAATGTTTGTACGAAATAATTCATAACATGCTAAGTTATAACACAAGAGCTCCAAATATGCACTTTTCCTTGGCCAGAAAAAGTAAATTCTCACTGAGAACTCTTGAATTCATATCTCTTTTTCATCTCCCAAAGTTGTTACAATATTGCATGGTAAGAACAGTAAAATATTTTTAGACAAGAAAACATTATTCACTTTGCAAATTGTCAATATAACATAAATTATACAAATGAATTGTAGTTTAAAATTGATAAAGTACTAAACTTTTAACAAAGATCTTTCCTTATAGCAGAATTTGTTAATAGGCTCTCAGAACAGAGGCGCCCTTCAGTTCTAAACTGGAATCTCACCACATGCTAAACCTTAATAAGGTTTCCTTGATTTATGAACCACATTTTATGGCATAACACGTATAAATACTATATAAACTGTGGTTTGTGAACAAAACCATGGTTAATTAAAGCATACTGTAAATGAACCTAGTCTAATGCTCTAGCTAAGCAGTGCAAATGAATATCCTGGAAAGTTCCCTAAAAAAGAGGGATATTGCTACCCTTTTCTTAGAAAAGCAGTAAAGGGCCTGATGGAATTATTATAGCAATAGTTTAAAAATAAATGAAAACTTATGTAAATTGTTTATTATAAAGGTATTCATAGCATTGGGTAGAACTTGCACTGAGTTCCCGTTGCATTTACTGTGGCTGTGATTTGTAAAAAAAAAAAAGTCATGTGACAGTGTAGTTATTGAAGGACCATCTGGAAACACTAAAGAGATGAAACATCTCCTTAGAGCAATGGGGCAACACAGGATTGTTGCACTCAAGGCTTATCCTAATATTCCTTTAACTTTGACACACACATATCCTGTAACCATTTAAAATTATTTTTTCTTTGTAACTTGTCCACAGCACAAGTTAAACTTGTGTTTAATTGTTCCAGTTTTGAGTACTATTCTCCTTTTTTCTCCTGATGTATTTTCAGCTGTCTGATATACTTCACCAACAATTTTGTTGCTGAGGCAGTCAAGGATTAGGACCTCCTGAGCAGGGAGCAAAATAAAAGGTGGCAAGTTTGGGAGGGTGCTATGAATAACAAGTTTAACTATTGATTACTCTCAATTTGGCTATTTCTGAATGCAAATCTGGTGTTCTTTTAGAAAGCGCTAAACGTATGTTCAAAAATAGCCTAGCTAAAGTTGCTGGCACAGAAAGGGGCAGAAGAAAAATCTCCTGATGTTCCTGCTCAGTAGAGCAACAAGGTTCTAATTCTCCCAGTATCTAAAATGGAAATACTGTGTAGCCCAGAAAGTCAAGTTAAGTTCAGAAAGAGAAATGGGTCCTGCTAGCTAGATGCTGCTGATTCTTACACCAATGAGAATAGTAGCAAGCATGGAGAAGAGATAGGATTCCTGCCTCCTGAACCCCTCCTGCCTGTAACTGTCTATCAGGCTATTTCTGAATATCTTAAGTTTTTTTTAATGAAGACTGGACCCATGTCCAAAAGCTGCCTCTAGGCGTGATAGGCAGCATATAAATTTAAATAAATCAATAAAAGTAGCTTGGCTGAAGGTCACAGGCATAGAAAAGGGCAGAGGGTGAAATGGTCGGGAATTCTTCCAATGTTCCTGTTTGGTACATCAGTACATTATGTAGAAATTTAACATATTCCCGATATTTAAAATGGAAATACCTTTTTGCCTTAGTTACTTTTTAAATTAAGGAAAGGAATGTATCAAACAGGTCCGTGGAGAAAGATTGGAGAGAAATTATTTCTGAAGAAGTAAAGTATTCTGACTGATAGTTTTATCTGTTACATTTCAGTGGTCCTTTTAAAAAATCTGTCTTAATATTTTACAGTATATATATAATGTTGGTAATTGTTTCAAAAATAGGATTAAAAACTTTTTGGTCAACATTGATTTACAATGGACCAGGCTTTTTTTAATATTTGGAACTGCAATTGCCTAAATTTCCAGGTTTTGCTCATGCTGGCTGGTGATTTGGGAGTTGATGTTCAAGCACATTCTGTGGAGTCAGCTTTGAGACAGACACAAAACCTTCTTGGCACATGGAGACACTTTCCTCCCTCTTCATCTCACTACTACCACCATGCCTATGTTTGTCAGCCAAACTATTTGGTGGCAAGAATTTAGTATTTTTTCAAAAGAGCTCTAGACTTGGGTTCAGAAATCACCATTATTTGCCTGATAGTTTGGCAAACTTGAATAGACTTCAATAGGACTTGACATGTGCTTTAATCTGTCATTCAAAGCACCTACCTAAACTTGCCCAGCTCTGCTTCTTACCCATCCACATTAAGGAGACCAGTTGGTAGTAGTTTTCATGCTGCCAGATGGTACTTGATAAGAGAGGACAAAGCCAGGGAATCCATCACTTTTTATAAGATTTCTTGGATTAAAATTATGAAGATAGTACCAAGGTCAATTATTAAGGGACAATAGTATTCAGCCATCAAGCAGCAAATATTGAGACTCAAAAACATGTGGATTGCATTTTAATATAGCCTTCTAGCTTTCTTTAGGACAAAGATATACATTAGGAAAAAGAAATGCTACAGAGATAGATGTAATGTTGCATAGTAGAGGAATATTAAAGAAAAAATTGCAGAAAAGATGAAGGAATTCTTTGCATGTCCTTGAAGGCTGAGCAAATAGTGGGAAGGAAGATGGATTTCATAATTTGTTGCTATTATCAAACTACTGTAGGGAAAGAGTTTTTTTCTAGGATTCTTTCTCATTTTTTAATACTAGCTTTGCTACAGTATTAAGGAGAAAGAAGGAGGCTTAAGAGCAAAGCTCAGCAGCCTTGTCAATACTGCTGCATTGCCTGTCTCTTAGGATTGGAGAATTTTTTCTGGAATATTGTTCTCCTCACCCCATGCCAAATTCAGTCAATTTTTAAAACAGCTTTCTTTTGCCTGCTTCTACCACTACCGGGTGTATACCAATTTCCATTCTGTTCTGTTTTCAGAGAATTATACTGCTGCCGCCAGATGGCTGGACAGAATCCTAAACCCTTACATAATTTCTTTCAAATATGGTATTGAGTTGGAATTAATTAAAAAAATGTGAGAAGATCTAGAAAATTATGGGAAGATCTGTTCAATATTTGTACTGTTTAAACTGGTAGAAAATGTGATTAAAGAAATTATCACTGTAAAAATGACACTTAGAAGAACAATCATCAATTTCTGCAAAGGCAAAAACTCCTAGAAGCTATATGGTGTCTCATAGGATGAGTAAAATGTTGTGATTAGATGAAACTTTGACCTAATCCAGTACAACTCATCTGATTTCTTAGAAGCAAATTGACCCATGTAGCTTTTAAAGGATTTTAAGAGTGTAAACAAGTATATGGGCTAGGGATCATTGACTGTTTACTTAGATTTTCAAAAAGTGTTTGACAAAGTCCTTTAATTAAAAAAAATGCTAAGCAAACCTAGCAATCAGGAAGAAAAAAGGAAGCACAACCATGAATTCTGATTACAAAATGTAAATGAAGAATAATAGGCCTGTACAAATAATTCAATGAGGTGTTGTGTTCATGAATGAAGGGCTTGTCTAGATTTGTACCTCAAAGCTGCAAAGCAGTTATAGTTGCTGAAAGGGTCAGAGCAGTTGCTTGAAACTTTAGTGCCAGAAGACCCTCTGGCCAGAAGGTTAGACAATCATGTAGAAGAAAAAGCTTCTTGGAGACAGCATTTCTCTGAATGATGATTTTGGCCAATAGGATGTTACTCTCCTTATGGTCGTCCTAGACCAGGGGTAGGCAACCTTGGCTTTTTTATGACTCGTGGACTTCAACTCCCAGAATTCCTGAGCCAAGTGGCTCAGGACTTCTGGGAGTTGAAGTCCACGAGTCATAAAAGAGCCAAGGTTGCCTACCCCTGTCCTAGACCTAGAAGGATAGGGTGTCCCATAAGATGAGTAAAATGCTGTGATTACATTTTGGCCTAATCCAGTATAACTCATTTGACTTATTAGAAGCAAGTTCTGAACATTTTTCAACAGAATGGTACCCAAATACCTACACTTGTGCGTACACCTATGTGTGGGATTATCTGTCTGTGACGGTGTGTGTGTGGGAGGGGGGGTTGTCAAACGGGACAAATTGCATTTCTGGGAAAATGAGAAATCTGGCGATAGTGTTGGTCAATATAGTCAGACTGCTGAGCTTCACAAAAACACCGGTTTTACCAACTCGGAACCACTGCTTTTTCAGATTCAGGTCGGTGGCAGGAGGACATGTTCTGGGGATACATGTCCCAGGCTTGCCACCATCGCCAGGTGTCCACTATTTGAGTGGACAGTCCACTTTTTTCACATTATGTTCACTATTTTTGTCCACAAAATAGTGGACATTTTTTTTATTCAAAAGCTTTATGATGAAATGGTACGTAATCTAAAGCTGTACAGTCTACTTTTTTTTACTACTTAACCCCCCCCCCCGCTTGTCCGCTATTTTTTGGAAGCAGACCTGGCAACCCTAGCCACCGAAGCCGCGCCTGAGTTACACAGAACTGGAAGCGATACCCTAAAAAGATGCCCGGGTCGCTGATCCCCCAGGCCGCAGGGGTAGGCAACCGTGGCTCTTTTATGACTCGTGGACAGCTGGCTCAGGAATTCTGGGAGTTGAAGTCCACGAGTCATAAAAGAGCCAAGGTTGCCTACCCCTGCGGCCTGGGCAAATGGCTCCGCCGAAGTTGCAATCCCGCTGCAGGCCGCCGGTCCGCTCCATGACTGCGAGTGCTCCTCGGGGCGGGCTGGGGAGCGGAGAAAGAAGAGGGAGGGAAAAGTCATGAAGCTGTTTCTCCAGCCGAACCAGCAATGCCTTCTTTGTCGACGCGGGGGCGGGCATTTGGAGAGGATCCCTAACTTGGCCTAGAGGCAGAGCGTGTGCGTGTGTGTGTGTATATATATATATATATATGTCTCTGTGTGTGTGTGTGTGTGTGTGTGTATGTTGTGTATTGGCAGTGGGGTAAGTGGAGGTTGGGTGGCTCCGACTCTCTGACGCCAGTGAGACCAGATCAATCCAGGCGCAGCGGAGGAGCGAGCGCTGGGCTGCTAAGCGGCGGCTCTGGAAGCGAGAGCGGAAAAGCAGCGGCGGCAGCGGGTGGGACTTTGCCCGCCTGTCCAAGCAGCTGCGACGCGCTGCCCGGCGCTTTGCATGATCTTTTCCTTATTCCCTCGCCTCGCCCCTCGCGGACAGCTGGTAAGAGCTCGGCTTTGGCTACTCTGTCTGCCGCTCCGAGCTTGCCTTCCTTGGGGAGTCATTCCCCCCCCCACCCGCTTTTGTGTTCTTTCTCCTCCCTTTTTTTTATTTTTTTTAAAAAAACCTCCCTCTCTCCTTTCTTTTCTGCCGTTTCCTCGCTGGCTTTTTGAAAACGACGCGACTGCAAGAACGGAAGAGGGTAGGCAGGGTGAGGCTGAGCGGGCGACAATCTTGAATCGCGCGCGTGTGTGTAGAGAGATTAGGGCAAAGGAGAGCTTTCGTTTCTCTCATGATGGCGGCTGTGCTTGGTGGAGGAGCCGAAAAGAGCGAGTGCGCTGCAGCGGCGGCGATTTTAACGCTCTAAAAAGTTTCCTCTCCTCTTCCTAGGGACGGGGTGGGGGGGAAAGGAGGAGGTGGAGGTACGGGGGACCTTTTTGTAGCTCCAGAGGTAAAGTAGACCCGCCATCCCCCTCCCCCGTCTCTGCTTTCCACTTCCTTTCTGCTGCCGCTTCTCAAGTAGGGGAGAGGAGAGGGAAAGCCATAGAAAAGCCCAGAGTCTGCTTCCCAGTCGGGAGATCCTGCGGGCGTTCTGCCCCCCCCCTTGGTATTTCGAGCCAAAGTGAAGAAATTGGCCTCCAATTTGGCGTCGGTACTTTAAGGAAGATGAACCACCCCAATGGAGCTAACCCTCTCTTTTACAATTCAGCATTTTTCCTTCTTTCTTTTTTTTTTGGTCTGATGCTTTGTCGGGGGGGGGCGCTTTCTGAGCCCGATTTCTTTCCTTTTTGAGTGGCAGGTTTCTCTGCCCAGACTTCCCTTTTTGACGTTATTATCGATGACCCACTCGGGAATTTTTGTTTGTTTGCTCTAGTAGAAACCTTGCTTTCTCCTCCCACCCATCCTCCGGGTTTATTTGGCGAGGTTTACGGGAATTCGTAGCGGAAAGCTATGATAAATCGAGGATAGCCGTTTCTTTCTGCCCTTTGTTAATAGTGGATGAGGCTGCGTGTGTGGGCTGACTTAGAATTTCTTAATACAGGGTATGAATATGAAAAGCTGCTTTAAATTGAGGAGTGTCTTTATGCTTAAGGATAAGACAACAGATCTTTACTATGGCTAAATATATGTGGATACCAATTTTAATCCACATTCATTTTCATTACACTGGGGAGCAAGCGTTGTTAGGAAGGGAAAGTAGATATAAACTCATGGAAGAGTTCCATGGTGAAAATGGCCAGAGTCCAGCTGGGTTTAGGACAAATCACTCCTGCATGGTAACAAAAAGAGTTGGTGTTTGAATTGTAGTGTTCTCATCAGTAGCCATAAAAAAAAAAAACCTCAATCCCCTTTAAGGACAACTGGCAGAGGCTTTGTTCTGTCTAATTTGCTGCCCCTTCAATTGTGTTTATTTAAGAATTGAACATGAACTGCAACTGCAGAGGTTCACCTTCCCAGCACTATCCCAAAGGTGCTTTTTCAAAAGGCAACTGGCACTAAAGGCACCTTTAGCACAATCATGACCTGGATGACTGAGAATCTCCATAGACTTCCAAGTACTAGTTGTTTAGTTGCAGCAACAATAAGACAGCATTCCTCTAGGCGGTTGCCACTTTAAACCTATGCAATTCTTATTTTTATAGGTATGCTTTGCATCCAGAAAGGGCTGAGGATGACCTCCTGAGGGTTGAAGAGGCCATTTAGCATAACTATTGTGACTTCTGTTTGAAAAGCTTTTGGAAATGCCTAAGTCCTCTTGATAACAGGAATACTTGGTCCTTTTTTTCTCAAGGCATAACTCAGTCTTCAGGGCATGATTGCAGAAGCTAAACTTGCCTAAAAACTTCCTAGTCACCATCCCTGATAAGATCATTTTGGTTCAAGGCCAGATCCTGTTACAAGGGCACTGATTTGTCCTTGTTTTAATTCTGACCCTTTCAACCCCCCCCCTCCACATAATCAAATACAGTTCTCATCTGCAGTGTCCTTCTCTTTACTTGTGGGTTTTTTGTGCATATCCTTGATCAGATGACTCCACTGTTTACAGAGGCTAAGACAATACCGATTTGAGATAAGTATACTGATGGTTGAGAACCTCTAAGGTTACAATTACATAAGTTCCACTGAAGGAAAGTAGAATATATATTTACTGATGTAAACATTTGTATTTTTCTGCTTTCCCCTACATCTCCCCTCACCCTTTTTGTTAATGCCATATCTGCCATTATTCGCAAAGGATGCTTTCTTGCTTCAAGCTGGAGTTGAATAAATCTTTTCAAACTTGCTTAAACTGGATGCTGCCTTCACACTCTCCAGTGAATATATTTGCATATGTATTTCCACAGCTATAAATTATCTCACCCATCATTTATTTGTACTTTTCAGTAAAATCAATTGCGGGAGAACTCTCGGCAATGTCTGTAATGCTTTATACTTATACATTTCCTATTGCAGTAGTAAGGCAGAGGTGGAAAAGGGTGGCCAAGATTTTAATTTTTTTAGCATTGCTGAAACTGAGAAAATGCTTCCCTCTTTGTCCTTCCTATATGTATATATGTGTGTGTTTTGCTGCAAAGTGATTTCCTAAGAAGAAACTGGTTATTGGTGTATATAAGCTGTAGAAAATAATTCTGGCAGAGATATTTATATGTAATGAAGACACGCAGGAAAATTTAATTATTGATGGCTGTACAGAAACATAGGCAATAATTACTATCCACTTTAAATGACCTTGGTATTAGCTTTATAAAAAGCCCAGTGTTTTTCACATATACAGTATATGCTGCCAGATAAAGAAGTGGCAGGTAAAATTCTAATTCTCAAAAGAAAGGCATGAACTTTTAAACTGACAGCGATTATTTCCAAATAAATTTCTCACTGCATTCCTGCTTAATGTGTGTAAACAGAAGGCAAGATCGGTCTAGGGAGTAGGTAAACTTGAATTAAGTTGTGCTGGTAATGCAGTGTAGCCTGTCTTGTCAAGTATAAGTGGTTTTCTTGGTGTGTAATCTTGCAGGGCTAATGGAGGCATCATCTAACTTTATAAATAATGTAGGCTGTGTATAATGTGGACTCTCTAGAGACTGCAGAGAGCATCATTACTAGCCTTTCCAACCTGCTGTAGATCTCAAATTGACTTACAGCAGTAAAATGCAAAATGATACATCAGGATGACGTGAGGGGTTCAGCTTGGGAACGTGTTAGTTCAGTTATCATAAATATATTAAGACATCAAATATTGTTACATTATCATTTATTTATAGGCAATATAGAGGTGAAGATTTTTTTTAAAATACAAAGAATATTGTTTCTTCTATAGTTTTCTCTTTTGTTCCCCAAAACAGAGCAGGTAGTAAGTTATTAAACAGTAAACAAGAGAAAACCATTGCGTATGACTAAATGCATTTCTGAAAAGTTGCTGTATCTTAACTTTCCAGTGGATTGCCACATGTTCAATAGCTTTGTAATGCTAAAAATAGAACATTGGAGAACTAGGTTTAAGTCCTTGGTCATCTATTCTATAGGATTTAAGTTTAGCTTTTGGCAAGTCTCTAGCCACTGAGTTTGAACTGTATATTTGAAGAGTTGCTATAGGGCAGGGGTGTCAAACTGCCGGCCCACGGGCCAGACGCGTCACGACAAAACTGTGCCCACCCCATTGCCGGCAATGGGGCAAAAGTTCTGATACGTCGCGCGACGTCACATGACGTCGCAAGTTTGACATGTCTGCTGTAGGGGAATTAAAGTGTAACAAATCTGCTAATGAAAGCAGCTTTGTCCTCAGGTAGATATTTTGTACTTAATTCAGATTGTGACTGCAGCAAACTTCCTGGCAATTATGAAATTGTAGATCCCGCTCTAATCAAATAACACGCATGCAAAACTAAACTCTGTGTTACTCTTTTGTGTGTGCAGTTCAGTTCGTGGCACTGATAGATATCTTGTACACAACAGACAAATCAAGGTTTCTGCTAACCAAGAAAGATTTACATCAACAATAATTATGTGGGCCACTGTAAATTTATTAATGAGGTTGGAAAAGAGAAAATTGAATTACCAGAAGTCCCTGGAATGTACTTTCACTTGAATTAGGAGAGTTTGTTTTTCAGTCTTGGTCATTGCAGGAAAAGATCATACTGAATGAAGGACGGAAATCTTTCCCTAACAGATTTCTTTCTGGTAAGCACGTGACTAATCACACATCCAGATTGGTATGAGATCAAAAGGAATGAAAAGCTGTTCTGTCAGCTGCTTTAGCATATGTACAGCAGCTAAGGTTTTAGGGCAAGGCAGATGCAAGTTCAAGTCCACCCTCAATCATAGAAGCTCACTAGTGGCTTTAGGTCAGTTTTCCTCTGTCTAAATCATTAATAAAACCACTGTTTCTTTAGAGTCCTAGGAGGAAAGGCAAAATATGGATATGTGAATACAAAATACAATGCACATTTACTTATTTGGCTATGGAATCCAAGGTATACAATCAGCATCCTATGTGTGCACACAGATGGGTGGTATATAAACAAACATTTTTAGTTCAGTGCTTTATAAGATGCCAAAAGTATATTTCCAAGTATACATCTGGGGGCTAACAGAAGCCCTGCTTCCTAGTCCATGACTCATTTTTTGTGGAAGCAAAATCCTCTTGTAGCCCTTTCTAGGTGTCTGAGGAACAGATAGAATTACAAGGAGGCCTCTAATATCTCTAGAGCTGCTCCAATTGGGGCTCTATATGATCTGCAGGTAGTCTTTGACTTACAACTCTAATGGGGCCCAGAATTTACACCATATGTCATGACAGTCATAAGTTGAGTCATTGTTTGACCAACCTGACTTTATGACATTTTTTGAGTCTGTCATTAAGCAAACATCACAGTCATAATATGAACCCACTGTCCACAATGGACATTTTTTACCAGAAGCTGGAAACAAAATACTGATTTACAGCAAAAAAAAACAACCCACTGTAAATTGCAGTCATGTGACCACATGATGTTACAAATAGC